TGCCGCCGGTACGTCACCCATGGACGCGCCGAATCCCGGGCGGTGGGTGTCGGGATCATAGCGTATTGAGTCCCACCGTACGTTATTCGTACACGTAGAGTGATCACACGTATACCCATGGACGCGCCGAATCCCGGGCGGTGTGCGTCGAGATCATAGCGTATTGAGTCCCACCATACGTCATTCGTACACGTAGAGTGATCACACGTATACCCATGGACGCGCCGAATCCCGGGCGGTGTGCGTCGGGATCATACCGATACGAGTTCGAACATACGATACACACACACGTATACGACCTCCAGAGATCTCTATGTAGACGAAACCGCGTCATCGCCCACGCCGCGCGACGCGCGCGGGACGATCGCGACGCCGCGGACGTCGCCTCGACGCCGCAGAACATGGCTTCGCGCGCGTCGGTCTCGCGCGCGTCCGCGTCCGCGCGCGCGCGCGTCGCGACGCGGTCGCGGGCGACGCGATGGGCGACGCGCGCGCGCGGGGTCCCGAGAGGGACGGATTGGGACGTGCACAAGTGCGTGCTCGAGATCGCGCGCGCGCGACGGGCGAACGCGGGGAAGGGGGACGTGGGCGAGGGACGGTGTCGTCGTGCCGCGGTCGACGCGATGGGGCCACGGGGGTGCGGGGTGGACGACGGCGGGGGGGGGGGGGACGCGGTTTCGTCGGCGGGGTTGAGGTTTAGGGCGCGGACGCGCGGCGGGAGGCGGCGCGGACGCGCGGCGTGGGTGATATGGTCGACGCGCGCGTCGGTGGATGCGGTGACGTGCGTGCGTGTAGACGCGGGATGGACTGACGGGGTGATTTTCGCGCGCGGGTAGGTTCGGGGGGACGTGCGTCGGGAGCGCCGAGCGCATCGCCGGGGTGTGCGAGTTGCTCATGAAGAACGATTCCAAGTACACGATGGGGATCGTTTCGGCGATGGGTGTGATCAGTAAGGGTGAGCCCAAGGTGACGGATTGTTTGATCAACGCCACGGACATGGCGGCGGCTCGGAATGAGAAGTACACGGAGGAGTTGAACAAGCTCGAGGATAAGCACGTGACCACGGCCAAGGCGTTGCTCACGGACGAGGCGGAGTACGACGCGTACATCACCGCCTTCCACGAAGAGCTCAACGACTTGAAGGCTATGTTCAAGGCTATCTACATCGCTGGATGCTCGACGCAGGCGTTCGGAGACTTTGTCGTCGGTCACGGCGAACTTTGGACGGCTCGCCTGTGCGCGGCGCACATTCGCTGCAAGGGCGGCAAGGCTGTGTGGATCGACGCGCGAGACATTCTCGTCGTCACCGATAGCGAAGACGGTGGCGTTGATGTGAACTACAACCTGTCCAACGCCAACTTGGATAAGTGGTTCGACGCGCACATGCAAGAGGGCGCGGTTGTCATGGTGACGGGGTTCATCGCGCGAACGCCAGAGGGCGTTCCGACGACGCTCAAGCGCAACGGTTCGGATTACTCCGCCACCATTTTCGGCGCTCTCGTTCAGGGTAGAAACATCACCATCTGGACCGACGTTGATGGTGTCTACAGCGCCGATCCACGTCGCGTCAAGGGCGCCAAGTCATTGGCGTCACTCTCGTACAACGAAGCTTGGGAGCTCGCGTACTTCGGAGCCAACGTCCTTCACCCACGCACGACACTTCCAGCGATGAAGTACAACATCCCGGTGACGCTGCGCAACTATTTCAACCAGGCAGCTCCTGGTACGTCCATCGGGATGACGTGCAACGTGCCGTCCGTGGAGGGTGAAGGCGTAGTGGGCAAGTATGAGACGCGCGATTCTAGCGGCGAACTCGTCAAGGGTATCGCCACCATCGATGACGTTTGCCTCATCAACGTCGAGGGTACCGGTATGGTTGGCGTTCCTGGCACGGCGAACGCGGTCTTCAGCGCCGTCAAGGAGGCTGGTTGCAACGTGGTGATGATTTCGCAAGCGTCATCCGAGCACTCCATTTGCTTTGCCGTTCGCTCCCATGAAGCGGATAAGGCGGTGAGCGCGCTGAACAAGAAGTTTGAGAAGGCTATCGCTGCTGGTCGTATTTCTAACATCGAAGCCGTGAAGGACTGCTCCGTCATGGCCATCGTCGGCCAAAACATGTGCAAAACGCCGGGCGTCGCCGCGATGCTCTTCGAGGCGTTGGCGCAGAGCGCGGTGAACGTCATCGCCATCGCCCAAGGAGCGTCTGAGTACAACATCACCGTGGTTGTGTCGAAGAAGGACGTGAACAAGGCACTTCAAGCCGTGCACGGACGCTTCTATCTCTCCAAGACGGCGATTAGCGTTGGTCTCGTGGGTCCGGGTCTCGTCGGCAAAACGTTGCTTCGCCAAATGAAGGAACAACTCCAAACGCTCCAAGATGAGTTCCAAGTCGAACTTCGCACGGTGGCCATCACCGGTGGTAGAAAGATGTTACTCAGCGACGATGCGATCGATTTGGACACCTGGGAGGAGGAGTACGGCAACGGCGTTCCGGCCGACATGGATGCCTTCACGCAGCATGTGCTTGAATCGGCTTCGCCCAACCAAATCATCGTCGACTGCTCCGCGTCCGACGAAGTCGCGGGTCACTACAAAGATTGGTTGTCCAAGGGTTTGCACGTCGTCACGCCGAACAAGAAGGCGAACAGCGGACCGCTGGCGTATTACAAGGATTTGCGATCCATTCAGCGCAACTCCTACACCCACTATTTCTATGAAGCCACAGTCGGCGCCGGTTTGCCAATCATCTCCACGCTCCGAAGCTTGCTCGATGCCGGCGACAAAGTTGAGAGGATCGAGGGTATTTTCTCCGGTACACTGTCGTACATCTTCAACACCTTGGAGCCGGGCGTGGCGTTTAGCGATATCGTGGCCCAAGCGAAGGAGGCGGGATACACTGAGCCGGACCCTCGCGATGACTTGAGCGGCATGGACGTCGCCAGAAAGGTCACCATCTTGGCCCGCGAGTGCGGCCTCAACATCGAGCTCAGCGACGTTCCGATCCAGTCACTCGTTCCCGAGCCCTTGCGCGAAGTCGCCACGGCGGACGAGTTCATGAAGGAGCTCCCCAAGTTCGACGGCGACATCGCCAAGCAGCAAGAGGAGGCTGACAAGGTTGGCGAGGTCCTGCGCTTCGTCGGCGTCGTCGACGTCAAGGCGGGCACCGGTTCCGTCGAGCTTCGACGTTACCCCAAGGACCACCCATTCGCTCAACTCAAGGGTAGCGACAACATCATCTCCTTTACGTCGCGCTACTACACCTCCGCCGGACCGCTCGTCGTGCGCGGTCCGGGCGCCGGTGCCGAGGTCACCGCCGGCGGTGTCTTCGGCGACATCCTCCGCGTGTGCGCCTACCTCGGCGCTCCGTCATAATTATTAGCGATACCATCATGAGCTCTCCTCGTATTCATTACTACTAGCCGCGGTTCGCGTGTCATGAAACATTCGCAAAGCGTCCCAACTCCCGAGTCTCTCCTCCCCGCACTTCGTCGCGCGCTCCGCGCCCGGGGTCGCCCTCGCCCATGCCCTGTCCCCTGCGCAAGTACGTCGCCGTGGTTGGATTCATCGCAGCCGTCTTCGCCGCGCTCTTAGCGTGCTTCACGGGCGAGCATTCGACGTTTTCATTCGACCACGCACGACGGAGCGACGACGCGAATCCCACCGAAACCGACGCGTCGGTGCTCGACGACGACGCGAAAGAGGTCGGAGAGGGCGAGGGCGGTGTAACGACGACGCATCGACGCGCGCGGAGACGCCGGACGTGAGTGACGCTCGCGTGGACGCGATGTGAACATCGGGACGGTTCGGGCGCCCGGCGCCGAGAGTCGCGTCGCGCGGGAGACGAACGGATGTTCACATCGAGGCGCGATGCTTCGTCCGTGCGCGCCGGTGCCGAACGGTGCGGTTAAAGAGACCATCGTGTGCGTGCCACCGAGCGGGTGCGGCGTCGGGGCGTTCTCGGGGGCGTTCGCGGAAGCCATGGCGGCGACGGGACGGGAAGTCGTGGCCGTGGACGTACCGGGACGGCCCGGCTCGAGCGATCGGGAACTTTGGCGGCACGGCGTGGTGGCGCTCGGACGCGCGATCGCGGACGCGTTGCACGCATACCAGTCACGCGTGATACTGTACGGGCATTCCGTCGGGGCCTGGATGGCGTTCGAGGCGGCCGCGGCGCGGCCGTCTGTCATCTCCCGCCTCGTCGTGAGCGGAGCGAGAGCGCCGTGTCTGGGGCATTGGCTGAACGATCCCGACGAGTTAACTCCTCGTCTGTCGACCATCGATGACGACGATACGTTTTGGTGCGCGTTTGAGCGCCGTTACGGCGCGAGCAGGGAGCTTCGTCATCATCGAACGGCGATGGTGGACTCCCTTCGGAACGATTTCGAAATGGTTGAAAATTACGCCGGAAGCGAAACTAAATTATCCATCCCCCTGACGGCAATCGGTATACGTAATGACGACCGGACGACGACGGAAACAATCGAACAGTGGTCCTCGCACGCTGACTCCTTTTCATCGATGTATTACGGCGACGTGAACGAACCGCACGCGCACCGCGTGTTGCTCGACCAACCATCCGATTTCGCGACTTTCTTGGCGCGCGATGTCCTGGACGCTTCGTGAGCCGTGTTGTATTATTATTGCAAACGGAACTCCTAATCCTCTTCCTCCTCCTCACGTCGTCTCTTCGCCTCGTAGACAGCGTCCTTGTACTTGCCCGCACGTCGCTTCGGTCCCCAGTTTTCAGTCGGGTTCTGAGGAAATCTCGCGACGCCATCCTTTTGAGCGTTGCTCATCGCCCCGGGTACGCGGGTCCAGTTGGCGGTGTGCGCGGGCTCCTTACTCAAAATCGCCTGCCCGGGAGTGGCTTCAGAACAGGGCTTTACGGGATGTTCTTTGACCCAGCATCGCAGGATGTCCCAGAGCGTCTCCACCGGCGCGTCCGTCTTGATCCCGAGCGCGCTCGAGTGACACCCGCTCACGCGATAGCCCGCGTTGATGATGGCTGACTTGAAGAGCCAGTGGTTCGGCGGTGTCGCTTTGAGCGTTCCGCCCATGGAGTGCAGATCATAGTGCAAAGGAACGTCAGGGAGCTCCTCTTGCGCCATCGTGAGCAAGGCGTGCACTTTTCCGTAGCCCGGGTACCTGTCCTTGTTCTTTTCGACTTCCTCCTTGATATTCTTTAGCCACGTTTTATCGTGGATCGGGTCGCTCCAGATCGGCCCGCCCATGTTGTAGTGCCAGCCACAGTTCGGGCATCGCTGCGGAACCACCGGGCCGGCGCCTGGGTGATACTTCGTGACGTTGCCCTTGGTCGACTGACGTCCGACGGGTTGGAGCTCAAACGTGTCGCACCCGACGCACTGAAATACGTAACTCAGCTTGCTCGGAGATTGCTTCATCTGCAACGGACTGGTGTACACGCGGACGAAAACGCGAATGTAAAAGTCGATCGAAAGCGAGAGCACGGGGACGATGTGTCGTTTGTGCTTGATCGCCGCGTTCTCCACCGCGGCGAGGAGGATGCGCACGGCGGCTTCGTGACAGTACTTGGCGCGAAGCGGGTACGATTGGTACTTGGCCCAGGCAACCTCGGAGTTGTTCCCGCACAGAACCGCCATGTCGGTGGCGGTGACTAAAAGTAGTCCGCCCTCCTTCACCGCCGTCACCGCGCTGTCGAGCAAGATCGATGG